ACTTAAAATAGAAGAAATCACTTATAGATTTCATTCTGAAAGCTTGAATTTCGGGTTTTTTTTTTTTTTGAAATTTGATCTTTGTGAAACACTCTTCGTCAATAGAAACACTATCAGAGTCTCTCTTATAAAGCCCACATTTCAAAATCCAAGGCACTGTGATTAGGGCTGTAAATTTGGGCCGGCCTGGCCCCGCCCATGTCGGGCCTCGCTAGCTAACGCCAAAATTTGGGACAGGCCGGCCCATGAGCCAAAAAATCAAGCCCAGGCCCAGACCCAAGCCCAGTGGTATTTAGGTCTTGGACGGCCCGATGGGCCTGGGCTTGGCCTCAGGCTTGAATGGGCCTGACCTTTTTTTTTTTTTTTTTTAAAAAAATTTCTACCAAAATGTTATTATTTTTCACTAAAAAATACACTAGACCTTGGGCAGGCCAGGCTTCGGGTCGTTCCTGAGTGGGCCTTAAGCGGGTCGATGGGTTAGGCCGAGCTTTAAAACGATGGCCTAAGTTCTAGCTAAGGGTGGGCTTGGGCCTAAGCCCAAACGGGCTGGGCCCATCTTAGGCCGCCTATGGGCCGCAGACCATTTTTACATTCCTAACTGCGATAGTTACTTTCAAGAGAATAAATAGAGAGAAAACATATGTGGTGTTAATAACATTATATTCATGTTTGTTTGAATTTTTTTAAAAATATTTTTTGCCCTAAAAAAGAGAATACATATAAAGATAATGAGTGTTTTTTTTATATATTTTTTAAATTTTTTCCCCAAACTAAGTTATAATTTTGTTTTTAGAAAACAAATTATAGTTTTTGGTTGCTAATGTTTTCCTACTTTGGCCTCTAATATTTATAATTTTTTCACTCTAATTTGTTTCAATAGCCAACATTTGTCGAAAATTAGACAAATGAAAGCCACATTGCCCTCAATTCGAATCTCACAGTCCACTGTTCCTTTTCTGTCTTGTAGAACTATTGAAATGATATTTGAGAGAGAGATAGAGAGAGATGTTTGATGAGGGGGTTTGTGGTGTTGATTTTAAGGGGTTGTGTGGTGATGAATGATTGATGGTGCTTTTGAGTTGTTGGTGATGACAGTGAAGAGCTGGAGTAGGGCGGTGAACAGTGTTGTTGTTGAGTTGTTGGTGATAGCAATGAGACAGAGTATTGTCGGGGATGGGGTTGGGGTGGCAACGTGGTTTTTTTCACTTACTTTTAAATTGACGTTGGTTGTTGGAGCAAAATGAATTTTAAAAAAAAATTAAGGATCAAATGAAAAATAACTTCTAGGATCAAAGTGAAAAAGGAACAAAGTTAATTTATTTAAGGGCAAATTACAAACTCTCCTCAAGATTTGGTAAAAATATAGATTCCCCTCTGAGGTTTGAAAAATTACATTCCGTCTCCAGAGGTTTATATTTTCATAACAAATTGCTCCTTGAGATTTTTATTTTCATACAGATTTTCTTCTAATTTTTCCTAATTTGTTATGAAAATTTGACCCTTATAGGGTAATTTGAAATTTCTCAAATTTCAAGAGAAAATCTGTATTTTTACTAAACTTCGAAAGAAGTGTTTGTTATTTGCCTTTTATTTAATAATGGTTGTTATGGCACAAGACATCATATGGCTTCCGCATTGAAATTTTGTAAGGACCTCAATTGTTAAAGTAAATTGCGAAAAATAAATAATTTTAAATATTAAAGTGAATTTTTTTTAAAAATTAAATTAAAAAATCGCTAAAACTTAAAGGTCTTGTTTGATTAGTTGGAGTGTTAGGCCTCGTTTGAGAACATATTTTTTAATAAATTTTTAATTTTTTGACTAAATTATGATATAAAAAAATTAATAGGTTTGAAATGACTTTGTAATTTTTTATGAAAAGATGTGTAAAAAATAGAACAAAAATAGAATCCTTAACTTTTTAGTATAAGTTGTTAGTTTTTTTAATTTTTTTAATGATTTCTTAACTTTTAGATTAAAAATTGATATTACCAAATAAGATCTTAGTGATGAGAATAAGCTAAAAATTACTTTCCTTTTATCTTTACAAATCCCTTTAAAATTATAGCAATTTTGAGAAAATGAAAGAATTTTCTAATAGAATTAAGACATTTCTAAATTATTAGATGGTCCAACATATTTCTAAAGACATATATAATAAACAAGCGGTCAATTCGTAATGATCTCATACAACCAAACAACCGAAACCATACGCACATCAATCATGCACTTTTCTTTTCTTGACCATAATTGCACATGTAACTGTTGTGAATTTCAAAATAAAGTTTTATATGTTTAGATTTAACTTGTGAAATCTATAACATAAAATAAATTTAAATTATTTATTAATATTTTTGAATAAATTTTTTAAATAAAAATTTTAAGCGAACATGACTGTATTGATATAGTCAAATTTATTGTATTTTGATGTAAAATGATAAGCTTTGATGGTGTGACTGGACACCTATTTAGCAAAAAATAAAACAAATAAAAAAAAAAGAAAGAGCCCTGTCATATTCTCTCTTTTGTAGAATTTTCAATGGGTATCCGACTGTCAAGCAAAACTAGATATTTCCAATCCAAAACTATGTATAATAGTCATATCATGTTGTATTATAGTCGTGCAATATAAATTATGTTTTTTCACTTTTGCCCACAAATTCAACACCCAACACTCACATTGGGACTTATTGTTGGAAAAGTGCATCAAGTATTGGCAAAATCTATAGTATAATAATGGTTATCAGGTCAGGCTAGGGTTAGTTGTGTTGTGAAGTGGAGCCCTAACATGTTCATTTTTTTATTTTATTTTTTTGGGTGCAGTTTCAGGCTGATTTGACTTGTAGGCCAAAATCTCAAGCCTACTGAGTCCTGCCTAACAAGATTAGTCTAGATGGGTTTGCTGGTCAAGCCAACAAATCACTTTTCATGAGTTTGGCCCGCAAGCTTAGACTAAGAACCAATATTTAAAATTTATTTTTTTCATTTCATAATTTCTAGTGTGTTCACTAGCCAACGGGTCAAACAAAGCATTAAACCCATGGCCCAATACAAGTCTAGCATCACTTAGGCAGGCTTAGCCCACCCAAACTATGGTCTCAAGCTGAGTAAAGCCCTAGTTGGCCGGGCTCACCTTCGGACCAAATGATGAGGCATAGTTCATTACTTTCTTTAGTCATGTATAATTTTTCAATTATAATATATAGTGTTCCAAGTTATGATTCAACCATATTATATTGTAATTCTAGGAACTCGCTTGGTCATAAAAATTAAATTGCATGATAACTAATGAAAAGGTAATGCCACAATAGGGTTAACCTAAGGTATATAGGGATAGAGGGAGGTTATGTGCGTGTTTTAGATGAGAAATGCTAGAGATTTTTAAAATATAATTCTTTGAGTACTTTTAGTATCATAGAATGCGTTGGAATGAAATGCTTATATAGTTTTGTATTTCTTTTACTCTGTTTGGTACGCCTTACGTAAAAATAGTCATCTCAAGAAAAAAAAGAAAGAATATATATTCATTCTTCAAAGTTAAGGACCATACATTCTATTCCATCAGAATTCCATTATAGAATCACTTTAAAATAATGTCAGTTGGCACCAATGTCCCTTTCCACTCCCATATCCACCACTACCTACTGCTATAGCTATTGCCACTCCCATATCCACCACTATCACAATCACTCCCTTACAATCGCAACAATTGTTACAATTACCGCCTTATCACCACCAACATCCTATTACCATCACAACTATCACCATCATCACTATCGACGCAACAACTAATAACGCAACAACTAATACCCTACCACTAGCATCATCATTTATTACCATCGTTTACCACCACACACTGTTACAACCCCAACCCTACTACTAGCTTCTTAGTGTTTCCATTGTCGTAACCACTTATCACAACCACCTACCACCATCACACACTACAACGATTACCACCGCCACCACCCTTCCACAATTATTAGTACTAACATGATCCATATATATTTAGATTGGTTGTTACTAAATTGATTTAAATAAATAAACTCATTCGATTTTTGTTAGTTTAACAGATATAACCAAATATGAGAATGTGAATTGTTATTCAATTCCTATGTCATTTTATGTTGGTAACTACACCGTGAAATGAGAATAGACATCCAATTATACTTAACCTATATTCCATTTTGACTCCCATTTATTTTTACGTTTCAAACATGCTCTTAATTTTACCTTTAATAATGTGATAAGTGATTAACGTTTAAATAATTATTCGATGTGAATTGTTGCTTAGTTTAAAAATTAATTATTATTATCATTATTTTAATTTTAAAAAATAATAATTAATTTTTAAAATAATCAATAATTGACATCGAATAATTTAGATGATTGTTAATAAAAATTTAAAAATCATACTTTAAGCCTCCGTTTGGGAAGTGGGTTGACTTTTTAGCTTTTTGGTTTTTTTGGCTATTTTAGCCTGGGTTAAAAAGCTTGGTTTGGGAAGAACTTTTTGGATTTTTGGTTTTTTTTTACTTTTTTTGTGAGAGAAAAGTGTAATGATTATGGGTTAGATGTGATGTTTTGTTTTTTATGGCTAAAATAGCCTATTTTGTCTTTTGTAGCTAAAATAGCCAAAAAAGCCCGAAAAAGCCCTTCCCAAACGGACCCTAAGAAATTCAAACTTGTTGATCCCAAAAGGAGGACTGAATTAGTAAATAATTTAGATGTTTGTTAATAAAAATTTAAAAATCATACTTTAAGAATTTCAAACTTGTTGATCCCAAAAAGAGGACTGAATTAGTAGCCTAGGATTCTGTCATTGATGTGGTTAAGGGACAATTTGGTTGGCTTGAAGCTTGTAGGTAAGAGTGAGAATATCTTGTCTTAAAAGATTAGTCTTTGCGGGAGCATCTTGGTAGAGAGACAGATAATGAAGATGGGGGGCCATGGGCCATGGTGGTGGGACCTTCCATTGCTCTCATTAGTGGAGCATGCTCTCTCTCATCACTGGAAGAAGTGGAAGCTGCAATGTCAAGCAAAGCTAAAAGCCTTTCTCTACCAAAACCAAAAATCTCTATCCCCCACCCACCCCCACAAAAGCAGAGCAAGCAAGAAAAAAGTGCCAAAGGAACAATTGTTGCTCACATCATCATCATCACCCTTTTTGATTTTCTTCCTCCTCTCCTCCTCCTTCAGTCCCACCCCCAACCACTACCAAACTTTCACAAAGCTCCCAAAATTCCTCTGTAAGTCTCTCTCTCTCTCTTGAACTTCTATTCTGTTTCCATGCTTTTCCTCTAATTCATATGTTGATTTTGGTCTTTTTAACCTCTTTGAGAGCCCACTTTTTAAAATAGAAGATAGAATTAGAAAGAGGGAAAATAATTGGTCTCTGAAACTACTCTGCTTTGTTCTGTTCTTTGGAGTATAGGGTTTCTCTTTGCCAATCTCACCCAAAAGTTGAGAATTTTGGAATACCCAGAAGCAAATCTGTTGAAAGATTGAATTGATTGACATGGATTCGTTCAATCAGACAACTGGGTTTCGTTACAATCCGAATTCACGCACTGAGGGTGATTCTGAGTTTTCTGGGATTCTTGAAATCTATGTTCACCATGCTAGGAACATTCACAACATATGTATCTATGACAACCAAGATGTGTATGCAAAATTCTCTCTCACCTACAACCCAGATGAGACTTTCTCGACTAGGATCATCAATGGTGGTGGCAAAAACCCCGATTTCAATGAGAATTTGGTGATCAAAGTCGCCCAATTTGATGCCGTTCTCAAATGTGAGATTTGGATGCTTAGCAGAGCTAAGAATTTGATGGAAGATCAGCTTTTGGGCTTTGCATTGGTCCCAATATCTTCAGTGATTGGCCAAGGAAAATTTACCCGAGATTTTAGTCTATCTTCCACTGATTTGTTCCACTGCCCAGCTGGAACTGTGAAATTGTCTCTTTCTTTGAATACAAATGTGTCAATGAATTCATTCTCTGATTCTGTCACCAATTCCTCTATAACTTCAGAGGTTGTGTTGTTGGATAGGAAGATTTCAGAGGTTATTTTGGAGCCAATTGAGTATACGAGGATCGAATTCCCCGATGTCAATGTAGTTAGAGAGAATCAACAGATGGTTTCTCAGTATTTTGACATAGCACGACACGGGTCTGTTTCAAGGCAAGGGTTGGTTGGACCTGGTTCATTTCTTCATCTCGGAGCTTCTCATCAGCCAGTCGACGACTATGAAATGGCTGCGAATTCATCTGAGGACAACCGTGGCGGATCTGTATCTCCGAATGGAAGTATTCAGAATTCTGGGTTTTTTAGTTCAACCATGACAAGCCTCAGTGATGATAGAAACTCAGCTGATTCCATGGAGAAAAAGAATCAGTTGGCTGGCGAGTTATCGAACTCGCCTAACGCATCGTTCACTACTGAAGCTAATCAAAGCCCGAGTGTTAGTCCGGACACTCCAACTTCAAAGAAGGGAAGTGAAATGAGAGATGAGAAAGAGCCGAATTTTTCGGGGAAGGAAGAGGAGAGCAAGAAAGAAGGGAATATCGGTTCTGCAAAATTCGGTCAAGTGTTTCCAGCTCCACTTGGAAACATCAATCTTGAAGCCGAGCAATCCGCGATGCAGCAACAGATAGTTGACATGTACATGAGGAGTATGCAACAGTTCACTGAGTCTTTGGCAAAAATGAAGCTCCCAATGGATCTTGATAACCCGGTGGTTGAAGACCACGGCGACGTGATTCAAAACAGCAAGAACAATTTAGAAGTTGAGAAGAACAAAAAGGACGGTTCACGTGTGTTTTATGGTAGCCGGGCTTTCTTCTGAATATGTTCACTTGTTGAGTGCCTACCAATTTTATGTAAGAGGTTGTTAGCTGCATCAGATGGTTTAATTTATCAAGGCTTGGGTTTATTTCATCTCCATAAGTGGTAACAAACACTTCAATTCCTTTTAGCCTTGTTTAACCCCTTTCTTGTGAAATATTAAGATCATAATTCACTTGTATTCTCTCTCTGTTTTGTTAACTTCCATCACTACATATTTATTCCTTACATTGTTCTAGTTTTGTATTTGTTTGTTCTGTTGTTCGGCCTTGTAAGAAAATTGATTGGGTGGTTCCTAATCCTTGTTTTAACCTTGGGCTCAAAATTTGATACTACTTAATTTCTGTTTTAGATTTTAGGAAATAGTAGATCGTAGCATTGATATTGGGAAACCTCTCTCTTTGCTCAGTGCACTGAAACACAACACTTTACACATGATTTATTATTGTTTCAAAAAGGCTTCTCTCCAGTACATGTTGTCTGAAAATTTTCCAAGATCATGGAAAATGCTTCTCTTTATTCTCGGAGGTTCGAGTTCTAGAAGAATTATATACACCCTTGTTATTCTCATTTTTGCGGGCATTGCAATTTCAACAAATTTTTTGATTTTTTTTGATGACTCAGTAATGGCCCAATGGACTGGCCCCAAGAAAGGAAGTTTCGAACTTGAGACTATAGAGGTAGCACACCACCAGGCCAACCCCTAGAGGCTAACAATTTGTTAATTTGTAGGTTCTAAATTAAGCCTACGGACCTTTGATGTCCTTCAGAGAAAATAAAAATAGAAAATCCATTTGCTGTATGTAGTATTTAAGATGAGTGACATTTGATTCTTAGTAGAGTTGAAATGAGCTTATAAATTTCTTATGTGTTGAACTTAATGAATGGTTTATTTAGAAGGTAATGAAAGAAGACAACAAAATACTAATTAAAATTAAAAAGCTATATGTTCCATAACTTAAATATTATGATATCATTCACGTAACAAATGCATTATAAAGAATGCAAAACAATTCGAGAACTTTGAAATACACACAATGTTTTCATTTTATAAATGTTTCGAAACATATTTAGAGTGCGTAAATTGAATTATGAATAGATTCATCACATAGATGGTGTTTGAAGGGTTTAGTAAGTGTCATTGAAGTATTCGCAAAGTGTCTATAAAATATCCAATATTATGAATTAAATTTTTTAATTAAGGTACATGAAAAATATCAGTCTCCGACACAAGATGAGAGTATTGGTGCTTCTTGGGCATTAGGTATTGTGTTTCAAAATATGATCATCTTATTTCGTTTGGATATGAAAACAAACCATCATCAAGTAGGTTGAATGGAAAGAAAAAGGAAGACGAAAGAAAAGTGAAAGATGAAAAGGAGCCAAATTTCTTGGCTAAGAAGAGAGTGAAGAGGAAGGCACAATACGGCATTTTTTCAAAAGGTTGCAAATTAGCAGCATTTTTGTAGAATACCATCACAAGTCCACCTATCACAGTGTTAATGTTGCAATGAACGACGTTGTCCCGCGGTTGACAAATAAGGCTGTCAGCTGCAGTGAACGGGTGTGGGAAGTGACAACATTTACTGAACGCTGCAATTTATGAAGTAATACAGTGTCAGATTGTTGTATCTTTTAAAGTCCTTACTCCCCTCACTCTTCATATAAGATCTCTCTCTCTCTCTCTCTCTCTCTCTCTCTCTTCAATTGCATAACACTCTTTATCAGATTGATCTCTTTCTACACTTCAATTGCATAATGCCATCAATGATGGCTCAATAATCCCACCGCAAAGCTCAGAACAATATGCAGAGAGCATGGTTTACTGAATCAATTGCTCAATTAATCAGTTGCTGAGTTAGGGTTTTCACTTAGATCTGCACGTTCTCTCTCTTTGCGGAGCTTCTCTATCAACTAATCAAGACTGTTAGCAGATGATTGTGAGGAATTTTCGTTTCCTTCATCTCTCTTTGAATTTTTTATTTTTTATTTTCATTGCTTTCGTTAATATAACTGTAATGTGGTTGTATTTTTTCTTTTTTCTTTTTTTATACGATTTGGTTTTCTGATTAGTAACAGGTTTTGTGACTTTAACACATGATTTTTTGTTATTTTCGAATCCGTCTCTCTTTGATTTTCTGATTTTCATTGTTTCCCTTAATATAAACTTTGATATAGTTGTATCTATTTTACTATTATTTTTTCGGGTACACAATCTGGTTTTCTGATTACAAACAAGTTTTCGGCCTAAAATATGTATTCATAAATAAAATGATGAAAAAAAAATATTGAACAGGAAGATGTGTGAACAGAAAACAGAAATGCGAACTCGAGGAGAATCCATTTTTATATAGGTCAATCTACCCTTCAAAAGAATGATAATTTCGAACTTAAAGGTGCCGTTTGGTAACATTTAAGTTTTCAATTTTTAATTTATATTTATAAAAATTTTAAAAATTCAAATAAAAATTTTTTGAGTAAATTTTTTATTTATAAATCAATGGTTTTAGTTTATAAATTTAGACAAAAAAATGTAAATTCAAAAAATGAGTTTACGTTTTGAATTTTGAGTTTTGTTTTTTTTTACCACCCAACACTAGCCACCACCTGTCATCATTTTCCATCACCGTCTTCCGCCACCGCCACCACCCACTCCCCACTACTACCACCCACCAGCCACCACCCATCTACCATCCACCCGCCACCACTCACCACTCCCCACTAACTTGCTACCACCACTCACCACCCACCTGCCACCGTGTGCATATAATGTACATATTCAAAGTCAAAGCACGAGGTAAACCATTCAGACCCAAAGGCAGAATTAGAATTCCGGTTCTTTTAATATTTTATTCTTTCGCAACATAGCAATTTCATACATAATGTTATACGTACTTTTGATTAGTTCAAGATTGTAGACTCTGTATCCAAAACGAATTAATATTAACCCAATTCAAATTTGTCAATTTTATAATTTTGAATCAATTAAAATAAATGCTTTAGAGGGATTTTTATTAAAAAAAAAATTATTAAAAATTTTACGCAATTTTAATATGGACGTGGGATGTTTTTCACTAAAGAGAGGCGTAGAAATTATTATATACATTAGGTGCATCAAATGGTCCTCTACTCATCCAGTGTTATTATCTTATTTTTTTTAATTATTTTTTTTTGTCTATAAAGTTATATGATTTTTTTTAATTTCAATTGTCAATTTAAAATTTCCAAAACACATGATAAATAAATTTGGCCAAAAAATGAAAACACAAAAAATGTGTTTCCATTTTGAGTTTTCAGTTTTTTTTTTTTTACCAGTCTTTTGCCACCACCACCCGTCATCATTTTCCACCACCGTCTTTAACTGCCACCACTCGTCTTCACTCACCACCCGCCACCACTTGCCATTTCTCACTCTTTTTTATATTTTTAAATTTTTTTAAACATTTTGTCTAAATTAAACGCGTTTGTAGTTTTATGTTTTTCTAAAAATAAATAAAAAATAAACAAAAATCAATTTATAAAATTTTTGTAAATATAAATTAAAAGCGTAAACGTTACCAAACTGGCAAGAATTTCATATTTATTTATTTTTTTCCTAACTTTAATGGTTGATGCCTCTGGTTTGCTGTCAAAACTAGTTTCAATTATTCAGTGACACTTTATACAATTAGATTCAAAATCATTCGGGCGGTTGTACCCATGCCATTCACTTTATACAAGCACTGACTGGTCGTTCCGGCGGTTGTTCAGATGTGTAGTTTTTGTATTCAGATCTGTGTTCGGTCACCTGTGTGCTTAGACTTTTTGATTGTGATTTATTTGTATTGTGCTGTCAGCAGATGTTTGGTGACATTTTTTAAAATACCGACTATAAGTGACTATCAATGTTTAATAACGACCCCGCTACGTAGCTCGAATCCATGGCTCGAATATGTGGCTCGACACCAGAACGACGTCGTTTTGGTGTCTTTATTTTTTTATTTTTTATTTTTTTTTCCTGATTTTTGTTGCAGAAGGAAGACGAAGAAGAATGGTGGAGAAGAAGAAAAGGAGAAGAGAATGGAGGAGGAGGAGGACTGGAGGGGGCATATTCACAGAGGGAGGAGGAGGAGGAGGCAGAGGCGAGGCCGGAGCCGGAGGTGGGGCTGGAGGCGACGGCGGTGGTGCTGCGATGACCGGCGGCGGCGAGGCGACGGCAGTGGTGATCTCCTCTCCTCCTCTCTCTTTCTCCCTCTCTCATCCTCTTTCTCTTCTCCTCTCTTCTTCCTCTCCTCTCTTCTTCCTCTCCTCTCTCTTCCTCTTTTCTCTTTTCTCTCTGTCTCTGTCTTCGAATTCGAGCCATTTTTCGAGCTACCAATCTTTTTCCGTTTAATAAATACTGAAAAGATAAGATGACGGTTATATCTACCATGCTTAACAAGAAATATTCTACATTTGGTTTAATTTTGAAATTAGTTTTGGAAGATAAGTTTCTGAAAAGAGTTTTAAAATTGAAAACTTATTTAGTTATGAGTTTTCAAAACTAATTTCTGAATTGTATATTTTGAAAATAATTTTTAAAATTTGAAAATTCAAAATTTGTTTAGTTATGAATTTTCAAAACTAGTTTTCCAACAGAGTTCTTTTGGCTCTTGTGATTTTTTTTGTCTTGTAGTAAACTTTTTTACAATATTATAGTCAATTTTGTTTGAGTAATGCTAGGGATCATAAAAAAAAAATATCATGAAAGATTCTTCACCTTTGGATTATACATATAATAAAACACCACACTCTAATCAAAGGATGGGAAATCTTCATGATGCATTTCAATTTTTTTTTTCATGATCCTTAATATTATTCATTTTGTTTACTTCTTGTACATACCTAATTTAAATGTATTTTCTAAATAAATCTAATCTATAGGACAGAGTTTCACTCCATAAATATTAGTTCTTATTAACGTTTTTAAAATCTTAACTTATTTTCTGATTTATATCCACTCAATCTACAAACATTTAAAATGTTTCACATCTATGAAAAAATGTATAAAATTATTGAATAATGAGAAATATAAATAAAAAAAAATGTTTGACCCTAGTTTACAAATTGGGTTTGGCTTCTCTTGAGTTGAGATCTCAACTTGGGAGAGTGTTTGAGTTTGGTAGGCCCATTTTGTAATCAATTCTGATGATCCGAACCGTTTACTTCTTAGACTAATTAAGTAGAATATTCATGCAACAAATAAAATGTTTGGATATCGGTACTTAGATATTTGAATTATATTTGTTTTAAAAACAATGGACGACAAATATAATTTCAAGAATAACTATTTATTTTTTGTATTATAAATTTGATT